CCATTCAGACCGACTGGTTGAAACCCCGCCGAGGAAAAGCGCTGGGTGCAACTCAGTGGGTAACGCGTTCTTCGGGAGATAGCTGTAAGTGTTTTCTGCATTATACTCCGTACAGACCAATGAGCTGGATTACCGAGGTGAAACAATCGGTTTAGTTGTGTGAGTAAAACCCCTGTATAATACAAGCAATTAGTGACGTCACTACTTCCGTTTACGTTGATTTTTTGGTTTACTAATACAACAATATCTCACGATCTGCTTCACCTCTCTCTGTACCTCATTGTGTACAGACTATGGCTTATATCATGTAATATAGGCTGTCTTGCAATGAGCACTCATACATAGGATTTCCAGTGAAAACTAGATGTATGAGTGCTCATTGCAAGACAACGTATATCACGTGATATACGCTGTAATGTGAACGGGGTATAATATAACTATGGTCCTTGTTTCAGTGTAGTGGCGTTGTTGCAAACTGAGCAGGAGACAAAATACCCAATAATGACTACAAAGTAAACATTTTTTAGGGAAACTGGGACTACCTATTAAATGATTAAAATTTTACTCATTTATGAGTAATTACAACTACAAAAACAAGTAGTAAGTATTCATTTTTGAATAACAAATACTCATAAATAGGTAATATTTTTACTCATTTAATGGGTATCCCAGTTTCCCTCGAAAATGCTTACTTTGTAGTCATTATTGGGTATTTTGCGGTTACCGTGTAGATGTCGCCACACAACGTAAACAAAGGGATTGTCCTTCACGGCCGCAACGGTGTTTCTCTATGTGAAACAAAATATTTGTTTCACTATGTGTGGATGTCATATCACACTTAGAAAAATTCATGTAAATTTAAGTGCTCTGAGACTGACATATACGAGCGTCAATTTTGACATAAAATTTAGTCATAATAGACGCGAAATTCAGCCCAATCAAACGTTCTTTTCGTCGAGTAACGAATTTTTCAGTCTCGGAGTCGGAGCACTTAATTTTACATGACTAGTTTGTTTACGTCTAATCCTTTATGTCAAAGATGGATTCCGTCACTTGTAAAATAAGGTATTTCTAAGTGGGTATGAAGAGAGCAAATTAATGATTTTCGTGGAGAAATTAAATAAATCCAATAAATTAAACCGATTGATCGAGTTTCATCTTAAAGCATCGAATGGCAATCAAAATACTTTGGTTTCTTCAGATCTATTTTGCTCTTTAATTTGATCAGCCTTCAGATTATTGCTTTGAACATAGTTGTAAATGGTTGTACGATGAAGGTTTCCCATGGGTCGAATGAATAAAAAAGTAGAAGGGTCTGTGCCTAGAGGCACGAACGGAAGCTTGACGTAGGACCGCTAGTGGACGGAATAAATGTGAAGAGTATTTAGTTCTTTTAGTTGATCAATTATCTATTATCTCAACTCTTTCCGTTTTTGAATTGTAGGCGTACCAAATTTGTAGTATTTTTTTTTCAAAGAGAAAGTTTATTAGTTTTTTTTTATTATTATTATAATCACTTTAACGCTCTTGGGTGACTTGTCCGGGGGTGAGATTTGAACTCGTGACTTTGGCGTGAGAGGTATGGATGCTAACCACTACGCCGGGGTCGCCCCCCAAAGAAAGTTGATTAGGAGAATCAATCAAAATCACTTGCACCCCTGCTTCCAAGTTTGGTAACAAGATTACAACTCTGGAGAGCATTTTGTGTGGTCGTTGTGGGCTTGTGGTTCTGAATATGGACAAACAAGCACAGATAAATTCTATTCCAACTCTTTACTGATGTAAACTTGATGGCCCTGAAAAGGGCCGTTTTGTTGAAGAGGACATCCATGGCCACTTACGCTTGGCGTGTTTAGTGTAGGTGACAGCATCACGGACCTCATTTTCCAGGAACACCTTCAGCACACCTCGTAGATCAGACCGGAGATACGTTTGACACCACCACGGCGAGCCAGACGACCGATACTGTAATAAGTACGCTCTTTCTGCAAAACCATTCTTTCTTTGTTCATCAAGTTTTTTCTTTTTAGTTTTGTGGTGACAGTCGTCCATACTTTCACTAGAGTACTTTAGTCGAAATCACCGAAAGTATTCTCGCTTAATTCTCATTTGTTTCAATTAATTCGATGACAATCACAAATTTTCGATTAACAAATCATATGTTTAAGCTTTTGGTTCTGTTCTGCTCAAAGACATACGATACTACATAAAAAAAATCATAAACTGATTATGAATTGTGCATACGACTGAAAATCAAAATGACTGGACAGTAGACTCATGCAAAAATTGACTTTTTCGCTCCACAGTGCTTAAATGGTTTCAAATCGGGTCCTGATTAGCCTCCCAAAGTTACAACTCATTTGGTTAGAAACAGACTTCGCACAAGCCATTCGAAGTTTACATGTAAATTACTATGGGAAATCTCAACTTTTTGTTCATTGCCTTCTAGTCTTTTTCCATATTGAGCTGCGAAATAGTTCGATAGCTATTCTTATAGAAAACTTTCTCAGATACAACTTTGCTGAAGATCGTTTCTATGTAAAACGAGACAGGAATAAGTTATTAATTATTTAAGAGATTGGTAAACTTATGACATGATCAAGCAGCTGCTCTGTAGGCAACACATTGATTTTGCAGTGTGACATAGTAGCCATGATTATTGTGTCCTATTCAACGCCCCAGAAACAGAGCTGGTAAATATCACGGCCATCATGTGACGATGAGAAAACAGGTTCTCTCACTATCACGAGACGAAACTACCTATCATTAGCGCTCTTGTCATTTTTCAATGATCAAGCACTCATGAGAATAATTCTTATGCGGTTTTGACATCTACATTTCTAACTAATTTAGATGAATTTAAGCAAACTACCGTATGTAATCGGTAGAGTGGATATATTATTAAGATTTCCTCGGTACAAGTAACTTTAATAGTACTAAATGAACTAGTAATTACGATGATCATAACACTGTCACGTTCTGTCATGACGAAAAATTCGATGAGATTTTGAAGAAAATCTCTATCATCGTTTTCTCATCCAATGATAGTGACAGAAGTATCTCTGTAAATATCGCGTGAGATCTTTCATTGAAAATGACATTTGCCAGCCCTGCCCAGAAACACCAATGTTGTCTTCTGAGCAGTTGATTGAGCATGATCATAAGACATCACCGCATTGAACCATTGATAACTTTCCATCCTTGCATTTAATCAAAAAGTTGTCTTCGGCAAAGTTGTAGCTGGGAAAATTTCCTACAAGAATAGTTGAAAGTTTTTGAAGCAGACCGATATGGTGAATTATTAGATAGATGTGAACAAAAATTTTGGTTTTACCATAGTAATTACAATACAAACTTCAAATGGTTTGTGCCATGGTCAGTTTCTCACCAAATGGGTTCAAATTTTGAGAGGTTAGTAAGGATCCGATTTGGAATCGTTTAAGTATTGTGGAGCGAAAATTTCAAATTTTGCTCCACTCTACTGGACAGCACAGGACTTCCTATGTTGCTAATGTTAATTTTGACGTCGGACTTCACGCACCACATGCGCGTTCCGGTTTGGTGGGAGCGCGACAATAAGATGAATTTTAACTTGCATTTCACTTACTATACATCATTTCCGCACTCGCCCTATTCAGATAACACTTTTGAAAACTTGTGAGTTTGACAGAACCACCAGAACCAAATTATCGGAGTACACTGGAATTATACTAGAGTTGTCAAGTTGCCCCCGGGTTGACAAAAACGAGCCCTGCTGCAAACCTAACATCCCGGTGATTTCTCGTGGAAGTGCAGAGGACTCTTCGGCTTCTATCAAAGCGAGTGTCACGTCAACACATTCCTTCCCATTCCTTTCTTGACCTGCGTTTGGGCACAGCGTGGCCGGCGCCGGTATTGTCTAGTTTGAGATCACCAGTATTTACACATTGAGGAAGAATTCTAGTCCCAAGCATCGTCTACTGGTTCTCTGTGTAATTACAGCTGATTTGGCAATAACAGAGTAGCAACCGTGATCGGTCAATCATGCTCATGCTCATGCTCAATCACGAATTTTTTTTCAAACCCCTTCCCCCGACAGAAATCCTGGCTGCTTCAATTTGGAACAACTGCCACTATATTTGCTTCGGGGGTATAATTTCATACAAATTATGAGTCAACCTGAGAGTTTCTCGCTGCATATTCTCTGCTTGTTGAGTGTTCGAAAAGCAACGAAATAAAAATTGTTTCAGAAGTCTTAAAATGAAAGAGAATAGTCATTATTTTTCCAATGGGGAATTCCTAGTACACATTAACATTATTCCAGCAAGCACACCGTACGAGTACAAATAAATACATTTCAGTTAGGAAATGACGTTTCAGAAAATTTAAAAGGTCATTTTTAAATACAATCACTATGTCATTTGTATATTTAATCAAACAACACATAGCCGAACCGATCTATTTTTAACATCAACTTAAAAATAATTAAATAGCTTCTCTATCTGGAAAATGATATCAATCAGCGAAACCTCTTTTATCATCTATCTAAATCAATGCTGGTGTCCAGTATACTGGTGATCGAACTGATAATTATCACCGAAGCGTGAAGTTCATCAATATGTGTTGATACAAAGTGATAAGTGGGCATGGTATTTTCTACGAGGTTACTCCATTTAAACAGACTGCCTCGAGTAGACTAAGCATAATTCCTGTAAACGATTATCGTTCCGCTACTGCAATGCGCCCTACCATGTCATTTTGTGACAATATCGGCTAATTGCTGATACCAGCAAAAGTTATTGATTGCATGCATGCGAGTTATTTGACCCAAGTGTTACACATTTTAATCGAAATTCCAACAGTCGTTTCTCATCAAAGTTTACGATGCTCACTGCAGCATTATCACCCACTCTGCCCATAAACTGCTAGATAAAATTAGATAAACAAGCGTGACGTGAATCACCCTGCGTCACACATAAAATTGCATAAATCTCCTCCAGCACAAGGCATTCGGCACTCACCAGCGATGCGATCCCGACGAACAGTATGGTGGCCCGTGGGCCCATTCCGCACAGGGTACAATTGAACACCATTATGCCAAAGATAGGAGTCTGCTGCACACTACCGGCACGATCACACTTCACTCCACACCGCTAGGGGTGACACCGATAACAACCGATGGCAACGAGACGATCGATCGCACACTTTCTTCCAATTTCCGTCGCTCGATTCACCAGCTCCAATCAACAATGGTCACATAAAGGTATGTACGTTCGGTTCAAATCCCTCGCGAACGCGCGCTTTCTCATTGTCCGTCCAGTACTGACTGCTGGTCGTCCAAAATTGGCATTCAGAGCCAAGGAAAACAATTCATAAACATGTACCTATATCAGAACTTCACACACAGGCACTGCCGGGATGATGATTACACGAACACGCCGCCTGTAATCAATCTACGTAATATCTGCGCGATAAATTGTGATTATTTTTGACACGATTTTTTGCCTTGTTCTGAAATTCCGAACTGTCGATATCGAATCTTTGCCATCCACCCGATAGCAGATCTACATTCATGGACGACTCATGGCGAACGTGTGACTCAACCGCGGGGACCTTGCCTTTGTTTTGATTTCAATTAGGATAAAGTCACTAACTAATCGACTTCTGGATCGGAAAAAGTCACGCGCAGATTTCGACCGATGCGCTCTCCTCTTATCGGACGACTAGGAGAAACTGTCGCGGCGAAACACTTCCGAATGAAATGTACCTGCATGAAAGTAGGTATAGTGAAGTGACTACGCGAGCAATTTGTGCTGTGTTTTGTTTTCCTTCTCCGTCACCTCAGCCAACAGGTGAGTATGGAGCATTTAGTAGCGTGTGCCTTCATAGATATCTTTTACCCATCTGTTTGCATATTTACCCGCACCAACGAGCGAGCGACCGCCGCGCCGGCCTCACTCTCTGTCCGCTCTTGGCTACCTTGGCTACAGTTAGTGGATGCCTTCGCACTACCTGTGGACGATTGTAGCAGCTATCTTAATACAAAATAAACGATGTTTGTTTGTACGCGGATAGTGTTCCTACCTGGTTGGTAGTGTAATGTAACCATCTTACACAGATTATTACACAGAAGGCCTTCCTCCTTGACCAAAACTAACGGTGGCGCGTCGTGAGTAAATCGTGCGAAAGCGTGATCGTAGCTCATCTGTTGATGCCGTCAGCAACCTGAGTGAGTGGAAGTAACACGTTGTTATTGTTGGTTGCATCGGGCCAACTGATTGATGAGTTCGCTTAAGTACCGCAGATCAATTAGGATTAGTATCCAAAAACCCTATTATAATCAGAACCGTACTCAGCCGGCAATGAAGATGGCATTTGTCATCAAACAGAGGTGGAAAAAATTGCTCTAATGTTCCTTGATCATCTTCAAACTTTCTTCATATATACTTCTTGAAAGTTTTCTCATCTTCTATGATGTTTCAAGTTTTATAATGTTTTTTATCCAAGTTCTATCAGCTCGACCAACATCTCAGAACAACCATGACCTTCTCCAAACATCAGGAAAGACCTTGAACCTTTTCTAGGAATTTTCCTACGCATCTGGGTTCGCAAAATTTCCATATCAAACCCTGAAGTTCTAAGAAGCATGATTTGTAGTTGATAAAGAATCTGGTGTTAAAATTTCATCAACAGTTGTTGTTAAAGAACTTAATAAGTAGGTGAACACTGTTGAAAGTAGTATCCCGTAATTAGAACCCCATTAAAAATTGAATTGTTTTACCTCCAATCCAGAATAAGCCAAACGATAAGACACAAGAGTAGGTAGACTAGATTATCACTCTATATCATTATCTCTTTTAGATCCGATCGCTTCACGATCGTGCCTAATAAACCCCGAACTCAACCAGCTAGGGAAGATAATGATCGGTTGGTCTTCTTTAAATCAGTATTAAATTGGTCTTTATCAAAAACACACACAAAACCACACACCTCGTGTTCCTCACTGTATGGAAGAAAGTATTCCACAAATTGTGCCATTAGTTGCCCAGTTTGTACCTGCTTCGCTGACCACTGGTGTCGTTCTTGCTTTGCTGCTGCCCTGTTCGCCGTGACCACCCCGCTCATTCCAAAAGTTCGCCAATAGTTGTGATTTACGAATAAAAACTCCATATTTTGCGCAAAATTGTTAAAAATACGCCTAAATGTAGGCAGTTTACATTAGTTTTTCACCTAGAATCATATTTATGATACATTTTATCAAAATCTAATTTCAGATTCAGATTCAGCAACCAAAACTTAAGTAAAAAAATACCAAACACTGCACCAGATTCTGATAGGATGTTTAGGAACAGTTAAAAGTTGCATATTTCATCAGTTCCACAAAATTGTACATTTAGAGTGCTAGAACGCATCGTTTGTTAGGGGAAACGATTCAAAAGTAAACTCAAAAAAATTGTCACATAAATTTCATTGAAAAAAAGAACGTAACCTTCAGATATTATAAATTATCTGAAAAGTACATGATGTTAATTTCAAGTGAATTTAATGTAAGATAATTTCACTTAGATTCTACGTGAATTTATAGTGTGAAAATTTCTGAGTGGTGCTGGCATAAGCAAAACCTAACATGGCGTCCGAACGGTGCATTGCTGACGACCTGTTGCTAGATATGCAAATTCCATTGGATTTGTTGAATTTTCTGACAAGTAAGTTGTTTTATTTTCGTCATCATACACCATTTACTAATCATATGTTTTTGTAGAACGAGGAATCGACGAGTGTGATTACCTTACCATCTCACCCGAAAGATTGTCAGAAGAAGTGCAGCTGGTCGGGGGCGGCTGGAATACGCAAAAAATTTACAGTCAGCTTTCTGCCTGGAGAGCTTTCCAGTTGCATTACATTGGATTGACAATAAGATTTTTTGTGTAAAAAATAGCTTAAACGTGTAAATAGATATAAGAAACCATCTGCATTAAGCTGAACATTCAAATAAATGAACAAATATCTATCCAGTTATTTTTATTATTTCGAAAAATCATTTTAAAACACCTGACAACATTTTAGATGCTACGAAGAAATTAACTAAAATTTAGGTAAAAGTGTAATAAAATTCACTAAGAAAGTACTATAACATCTATGTTGCTATCTAGTGGATTGGGGAAAGATCTTTTCACTTTGAGAAATTTTCACTTAGATGTTACATGAAAATAAAGTGAAATTTACTTCAAAAGCCTATAGGGTAAACGCTCCTATAGTTGCGGTACGTTAGAACCGTTAGGTTCCTATTGTTGTGTATGGAGACTCCATACACAACTATAGGAACCTAACGCTTCTAACGTACCGCAACTATAGGAGCGTTTCCCCTACTACCTACTACAGTTTTATTGAAATTAAGTATTAAGTTTTAGTATTACTTCTACGTGAAGTCAACGATTGATAGTTCCGTTAGAGTACGGCAGTGTGAAGATTGCATATAGATATTAGAATAGCGAGCTAGGACAACTTTTAAGCAAGGTACAAATCGGTTTTTTCATCTCTCTTTACCAAACTCCCCCTTTGGAAAGGGATGGTGAGGGGTGCAATCCCCCCCCCCCCCCCGCCACCACTGGCAAACGACTATGACAGGAGCACATACCGTGGTAGGGGTAAACAATAGTTGCAATTTCCAAACCTACGACTGGATGCCTTCCTTCAAATAACAACTGAAGTGCGGTAAAAATCGGTAGATCTGTTTCAAACACACCGTTGGTACTTGAGCGGGTCGGTTTTCATCTCTTTTTGCCAGTGGTGGCGGGGGGGGGGACACCCCTCACCATCCCTCTCCAAAGGGGGAGTTTGGTAAAGAGAGATGAAAAAACTGATTTGTACCTTCCTTAAAAGTTGTCCTAGCTCGCTATTCTAATATCTATATGCAATCTTCACACTGCCGTACTCTAACGGAACTATCAACTCTATGCTTTCATCTACTCCATCTATCGTATAAAAATTACCACCTGGTGTAAGATTTGCTTCGTAATTTATCAAGATTATAGTCATTTATTATTAGTGAACTATTGAAAATAGATAAAACTTTTTGGCCGCAATCAACCAATCATGTGCTCGCTTGCTACACACTAATCGAGTCAGTACGGTTTTACCAGAACTGTTCGGTAAAAGTTTAAAAATCTGTGGAAAATTTATTAATGAGAAAATTTGTTCTGAACTTATACAAACTTATTTCTGTTAACACCATTTAATGATAGAAAATAAAATTGGTCGATTACATTGATTCGTTACGAATAACGGTCATTTGAATTTTTACCGACTTTTTCAGCAATTCAAAAACCCAGTAAAAAAATACTGACTCCTGTAAAAAAATCTTAGTGTGTATGACTATCAAGAGAATACAGAGAGCCGACCAGTTGCGAGGTTTTAAAAGAGCTTACCTGTGCGTTTTGCTTATAAAAATTCTTTGCTTAACCGTCAAGCAGTATAGAGTTCTCCAAATGCACAAAAGTGTGCGTGAGACCGCGCGCTACCTTTTTAAGTAGTTGTGATATCGCGATACCTTTTTGTTTCTTCTTCTTCTTTGTTTTTATGTATGGATGTTGGATTTTAGTGTTCGTGAGATTGCTCTTGGAGATCTCTATACAGTTCGATTTTTGGTCGCTCTGTCGAGTTTTTCGAAAGTTTCTACACTGTAAGAAAAGACCTGCCATAGATCAAATGATTCATCATACGGTGTGTTAAAAAGTGCCAATTTATTGTTTTCGAATGAAACCAGCAACTAGTGAAAAGGATGCGTTAGCGTTAGCGTTAGCGTTAGCGTTAGCGTTGTTATGATATACTTCGTAGATTGGATACTAGCGACACTCACGTCTCTTCTGAAATTCTCAGTTAGACTACTGAGGAGTAAACATTGGTTCCAATCTAAACAAGAGTAACAGAAGCATGACTGTCGCTATTCCCGGCCACGCCCATCTTTACCATAACTAGGGATAGGAAGGAAATGTTGATGTAGTACTTACTTAACGAGAGGCCACCGACTTAGCGACACCCTCATAAGTGCTACGGATTTGGAGGGTTGGGTAGGGTATTCGGTTAGGATTCACCTCAAGTTGGCGATACAACCAAAAGTATGTATTGTTTATTTGTTGTTTATTTAATCTCTCGATAGCCGGCTATCGAAAGAACATATTAATTTTGTTTAGTGATAATGAATTTTAAGAGTCATGATTTTCTGCTCAGTAAGCAAAAACGATCCCTCCAGGGTCATCGAGCATCTCAGAACTATAACGCTTCGCGACAATACAGGACTGCGTTTTCGCTTGATATGCGAATAGTTTCCGAGGTTAATGTTCAATATCAAATATACAAATGATGGTGGCGATTTATTGTGCTGTGAAAGAGCTTGGGGTTAAATCCATGATTTTCTGCTCAGTAAGCAAAATCGATCCCTCGAGGGTCATCGAGCATCTTATAATCCACAGCGCTTTGAATAACTATTATTTACGATAATTACATGAAATAAAAAAATATAAACTACAAACAAAACGTGACTGCTAAAATCTCAAAAAGATATTCTCACAAATATATTTCACGCCACCAGGAATCTCAAAACCATTAGACGTTATAATGATACTCTGCACATGTTAGACACAAGAAGAGGCCAAAAAGCAAGCGTCCGACACACAAAACCCGTCAAATCCACTTGCAATCAACGATTCTACGAATCGCGAGCGCTCAC